TTCTAATCATTTGTTTTTCGTGTGTGTGTGTGTGTGTGTGTGTGTGTGTATTCCTAGGAATTTTCTCTTTACAAAATCATGTCATCTACAAATAGGGATACATTTACTTCTTCCTTTCCAATCCAGATGACCATTACTTCTTTTTCTTGCCTAGTTTCCCTGGCTAAATCTTCCATGCAATATTAAGTAGAAGTGATAAGAGCAGACATCCTCATCTTGTTGATAGTTTTCAGTCCTTGACCATTAAGTATGATGTTAGCTGTGGGTTCTTTGTAGATGCTCTTTATCAGGCTGAGGAAATTCTCTTCTATTCCTAGATTGTTGAGTGTTTCATCATGAAAATGCATTGGATTTTTTCAAATGCCTTTTTGCTTCAAAGGACATGTTTGTACTTTTGTCCTTTGTTCTATTAACATGATATATTGGATTGATTGAATTTCATACATTGAACCAAGCTTGCATTCCTGGGATAAATCCCACTTGGTCAAGGTGTATAATCATTTTTATATGTTGTTGGATTCAGTTTGCCAGAATTTTGTTAAGGATTTTTGCATCTATATTCATAAGGGATGTTGGTCTGTAGTTTTCTATTCTCTTAGTGTCTGACTTTGAAATGAGTGTAATCATGGCTTCACAGAGAAAACTGGGAAATGTTCCCTCTTCTTCTGTCTTTTGGAAGAGTTTGCGATGAATTAATGCTGATTCTTCTTTAAACATTTGGTGGAAATCACCATGAAGCCATCTGGTCCTGGCTTTACTTTAGAGGAAGTTTTTTTTATTACTATGTCAATCTCTTGTTATAAATCTACTCAGCTTTTCTATTTTTTTTAAGTCTATTTCACTAGTTTCTGTATTTGTGGGATTTTGTCTGTTTCACCTAGGCTATCTAATTTGTTGGGACACAATTGTTCATCATATTCCTCAATAATTCTTTATATTTCTGTGAGGTCCATATCGATGACCCTCTTTCATTCCCGATTTTAGGAATTTGAGTCTTTTCTCTTTTTTTCTTGGTCAGTCTAGTTAAAGGTTTGTCAATTTTGTTGATCTTTTTAAAAGAAGCAACTTTTAGTTTCATTGATTCTATTTTTTTTTATTTTCTTGAAATAAATTTCATTTATTTCTACTTTAATCTTAATTATTTCCTTCCGCCTGCTTTCTTTGGATTTAATTTGCTCAAAATTTTTGGATTTTAAGGAAGAAGATTAGGTCATTGATTTAAGATCTTTCTTCTTTTTTAACATAGTCATTTAGAGCTATAAATTTCTAAGCACTGTTTTTACTGCATCCTGTAAGTTTTGGTATGTTGTGTTTTCATTATCATTCATCTCAAAGCATTTTCTAATTTCCCTTGCAATTTCTTCTTTGGCCCATTGCTTATTTAGGAGTGAGTGTATTATTTAAATTTAATGTATTTGTGAATCTTCCAGTTTTCCTTCTGTTGTTGATTTTTAATTTCTTCCATTGTGGTGTGATTGTAGAACACACTTTGCATGATTTAATCCCTCTTAAATTTATTGATGTTTGTTTGTTTTATGACCTAACATATGCTCTATCCTGGAGAATGTTCCATGTGAACTTGAGATGAATGTATATTCTTCTTAAATGTATATATTAATGTTTTTCATCAAATTTGGGAAGTTTTTGAGCATGAGCTCTTCGGATAGTCTTCCTGCCCCTTGTTGTGTCTCTTCTTTTTCTGGTGCTCTCATTATGCGTATGTTGGCACATCTGATGGTGTGCCACATGTCTCTGAGGCACCGTTCATTTGTCTTTATTATTTTTTCTGTCTGTTCCTGAGATCAGATAATCTCAACTGACTGATCTTCAAGGTCATTGATGTTTTCCTTCTTCCTGCTCAAATCTGCTGTTGAGCCCCTCCAGTGAATTTTTCATTTCAGTTATTGTACTTCTGAACTCCATAATTTCTATTGGCTCTTTTTTAATATAATACTTTTACTTCTTTATTGATATTATATAGTGTGAAATAATTCTCATACTTGCCTTCAGTTTTTTAGACATTTTAAAACTTCCTTGTGCATATTTAAAAAGAACTGACTTAAAGTCTTTGTGTAGTAAATCCAATGTCTGGAATTCCTCAGACATAGTTTCTATTGATTGCTTTTTTTTCCTGCATATAGGCCATACTTTCTTATTTCTCCTAATTCGTTGTTTAAAACTGGGCATTTAAAGTAATATAATTTGACTGATAGGTTGACCGGTAAAGGAATGCGCACAGTCAGGCAAGTTAAGAAAGTTTAAGAAAGTCTATTTAAGAGCGAGTCTATTGGGCTGAGCAAAGATGGCTACAGCCCAGGCTGCACGTCTAAAGGAAACTTGCAGCCCCAAGGGAGGCGGTGAGGAGGATTATATAGGGCGGTGCTGACACAGTAGCATTGTTTGAACAGAAAGTGTTGACTACCTGTGTGATGACGGTAGCTGGTTTGGGGCATTTTCTGTTATCACAAGTTTGGCTTTGTCTGCAGGTGCAGGCCTACAGACATTTTGTTGTTTTCTTGTAGACATGACTCTGTAAGGCAAGGTCTCTGAGACCTAACATTCGGAGACCTAACATTGACAACTCTAGAAAACATATTCTTCTTCTTCCCCAGGTCTGCTTGTTGTTACTATTTATTGTTGTTTTGGTTTGTTTAGTGACTTTTCTCAAATAATTCTATAAAGCCTGTGTTTCTTGTGTGTGGCCACTGAAATATCTGCTACGTTAGCCTAGGGTCATCTAATGATTGCACAGAGATTTCCTTAGATGCTTGGATCCAGTAAGTCTCCCAGTCATTGCTGATGGGTTCTGTATATTTGTGGGCACATCTTCAACACTCAGGCAGGCAGTCTACAACCCCACTTTTACCTTTATTCCTTGCTTACTCAGAGCCTCAACGTTGGGCAGAGGTGAAAGCTAAGGGCATTCTCAAGTCTTTCCTGAGCATGTGAATAACTGTGGGCACAGCTTTATGCATGCTCATTGTTTTTAGATTCCCAGAAATACAAGGAGCTTTGCAAAGGCCTCTATAGGTGTTCCATTCCCCAGTTTTTTCTTTTAAGCTTTTTGGTTCACTTATTATTTGTTTTGTCCCAGCTGTTATCCACCACCTGGGGCAGTGTGATACCCCAAAATTGCCTCTGTTTTCAACAAGTCTCTCCAAGGAAAAGGCTATTTACAGTCTGAGCTCTGATTCTGGTAAAATAATGACAGCCTTGAAAATGGGGTATTCCAGGAATGCACCAGACAGGTCAAATAATGCCCATTCTCTGGGAATGGACTTTAGAAGAGGCTCCAACCCTGCCCTGACCCCTCTGGTGGGTGCCAGGCTGCTGGTTTTCTCCAGAACTGGTGAAAGAAAATGGAAATAGGGCAAGTTAAACTCTACAAATCTTACTGTTCTTTCTGAGATCCAGTCAGTTGTCTTAAGTAAACACTCCCTGGGTTGCTACAAGCCTTTGGTTAATTTCCATAGGTCTGAAAAGGGTTAATTCTGACCATTTTTGCCAGTGACCTCACTGCTTTTATGGAGAGAATTTTCAGAGGTCCTTCCTCCACCATTTCAGTGGCATCATCAACAAGCTGGTTTTGAGCTGGTTTAGAGTATGCACACCATACTCAGTAGCTTATTAAGGACACTGTGGTTGCACTTGGTGGCTTATTGAGGCCACTTTCCCTCAGTTGAATTGTTTGTGGATTCCCTTGGTAGGGACCAGTGAGGTCATACTTGGCAGCCAGGACACCCACATTTTAGTCTTACATCTGCCACAGGCTGAGAGGATGACCTTGGAGCAAAGGAGCTGTGATTTCCAGAGCACCTAATCTGTGCCAGGTTCTCCATGCTGGGTGTTTTATGTACATTGTATCAAGTCATTCTTGCAACAACCTTGAAAGAGATAATTTTCCCATTTAACACTTAAAGAAATTACTAAATGCGAAGTGCTTAGCACTATGCCTACTACACATGGCAAATGCTCTATATGTTGATTACCGTGGTGTTGTTACGTACAACTGTTATTGTCAGAGGAGGAAGTGGAGGTGAGGGATTTCTCAAGATCATTTGAATGCCAACCCAAGTCTGTCTGATTCCAAAGCCCACCCATAGTCCACATCCCATTCCAGCTCCCCTGGGCATGTCCATTTCCACTCTAGGTCTTACTTTCCTTACTCTGTCAAGGAAGGATTTGGACTGACTGAAGTTATTCAGTCAACAAACAATTGTCTTGCTAAGATCACTTTCGGGATGACATGATGGAGATGTGTGATTCTGTGAGGTCAGTTGCTCAGTATCACATTGGTAGCATTCTCTTGTTTGGCTTGAAAAATAAACTGACAGGCAGACTGACAGGTGTGTAACCCAGTGCCTGTGTCTCTCTCCCCCTCCCTTCCGGCTCCGCCCCATCTCACTGCAGAGGCAAGAGGAGACAAAGCCAAGTGGGTGTTCACCTGGCCACTCATCTTCCTCCTGTGTATCACCATCCCCAACTGCAGCAAGCCTCGCTGGGAGAAGTTCTTCATGGTCACCTTCATTACCGCCACGCTGTGGATCGCCATCTTCTCCTACATAATGGTGTGGCTGGTGAGTGCTGGGAGCACGTGCACTGGGTGGACAGCCCCTGCCTCACCCCGGCCAGGGGTGGGAGAGCCGGGTTCAAGAGTGACCTCAGGCACCGGTGTGCCACCTGTGGCAAGTCATCAGCCTCACTGATCTTGGCTTTTTTCTCATTAGAAAGGGATTTCAGCAGAGGTGTGTGCCGCTGTGCTACGTGCCAGGGATGCCCAGACGGACACAGCATGGTGCTTGCCTGCAAGGCAGGTGCGGTGGAGGGAGACGGACCTTCACAGGGCAGCCTGAGATGCACCGTCCTGGCAGGATTGGCAGAGGAATATGGCAAGGGTGGTGTGGACTCTGTAGAGGCTCTGGAGGGCTGTCACTAGGCCCCCTTCCTTCCCAGGGTCCTCAGGGAAATGTGAGGGAGACTGCAGACAGTGGAAGATGAATACAAGGCAGCCCTTTCTAGGCCTCCTGCCAAGGGATGCTGTTCTCCCCTTTATATGTTCAGGCACATGTATAAACTTTATATAAACTGTTTTTATCCTCATAGCAACCATTTTTATTATGCCCATTTTACAGGTGAGGAAAGTAAGGCATAAAGATTGTAGAATTTGCCCAGTTAGTCACCCAATTAGCATCTGTTACACAATTAGTTACATCATTAGTGAGTTCTAAAGTTGGGACTAAAACCCTGGTTTGTTGTTCTCCTGAGTCCATGAGCTCAACCACTATCCTGAACTGCCTCAGTGCATTGCTGGAATGTTCAAATGCCATTCAGGCTGATGTTTTGCAGGTGGAGAAGCGGTGGCACAGGGTCTCATCAGCTCCTCTGGCCATGCGTCACAGCTCCCTGTACAAACCTTCATTGGCTGGGCTGGGCCAAGCCGGAGCCCTCACCCCCTTGTTCTGTGTACCACTCTGTGGGGTCCTTCCCCCCACTTCTCCTCTCTCCTCCTCTTTCTCTTCATTCCACATGGGGAGCCCAGGGGCAAGGAGAGGAGAGGTCTATTGTTGTGAAGCTCACCTGTCAGCCATTCATACCTTAGTGGTACCCATGTAGTCACTGCGCTCTCCTCCTAACACCTGATGCCAGCTGCAGAGAGGGCAAGCGGGTCTTAGTTTCAGAGGCACAAGGGCCACCTTTCCCTTAACCTCAGAGGAGCAGTTTGGTGGGGACATAAGAACTGCAGGGTCACATGGAAATGGATTTGAATCCTAGTTCTCCCACTTACTGTCCATAACACGTAAGCAGGTGACTCAGCTTCCCGGAGCCACAGTCAAGTCACCCCCTCAAAATGGGGACGATCACCACTGTCTAACAAGGTTATTGAGGGAATGAAAAGCCTCTGCTCAGGCATCAAATTGCTCATAACTGCAAATATCAGCTCTTTTCACCAGGGCATGCAGCCAACACTGACTGTTCCATGCTTTGTTCAGGTGAAGGTTACAATCCCCATGATGTGTGTGTGTGTGTGTGTGTGTGTGTGTGTGTGCGCGCGCGCGTGCATGTGTGCACTGAGGTGGGGGAGAAGCTGGAAATAGCTACTATCCAACCCCCCCTCCCCAGAAAGGATGACAGTGAAAAAGATAATAAAAATTATGCCTTCAATAAATTGAATTGGGAAACTTAAAACTTTCTGAATTAAAGGTCACCCCTTCTTTACATTTGATCAAAACAAAACAAAACAGTGATTTCTCTTCCTAACGTGCATTCCAAAAAAATCATTGCAAGTAAAATTATTTCATGATGTTTGAGTGAGTATGAGAAATAGGGAAGATGAAATTAACGAATGTGTGAATTTTTTTCTTCTTTAATTACTGAAAATAACAGTATTACATTAATTCTACTAGCTAGCAGTGAAGTTGGACATTTAATAGCACTCCCGTCCACCACCACCTTGACTTACAAACCCCACCCCCACTTCCAAAAGCAGAGCCTTAGCAAGTGGCTTGGCAGGCGTCCCAGGAACTACCCAGCTGGGGCACTCTAACCTGCAGTTTTGAACTTCAGCTGGCCTCAGTTTGAGAGTAGGCAATGGCCTCAGCTGTAGAAAGCGGTAAAGTGCCACATGCTAGCCTAATTTCTACACTTTGCCCTGATGAGGGTGCCAGGAAGCTGTGAAAACTTACCTGGCCACCCCTTACCCCCACCACCTTTCACATGTCTCACCCCCAAAGCTTTAGGGAAAAAAGTTCTTGAATGTTGGTGTCAAAAGGGAGGGACTTTCAAAATGGACTATCCTGTCCAGCACCCTGCAAAGGTGGGGAGACTGAGGATCAAATAGACTAAGCATCATGAGGGCTTGGAGGGTCTAGGGCTGGGGTCCAGGACAAAGTGACACCCGGGTAGCATCTCTGGTCCTGAATACCCTGGAGAGAGAGAGAGAGAGAGAGAGAGAGAGAGAGAGAGAGAGAGAGAGAGAGAGAGAGGACACGCGCGCGCGCACACACACACACACACAACTTCCTTCTATCGTTCCACACTTCAACTTTTTAGCCATGTAGTTCAGTGATTTCAGAGAAAAAAAAAATGGAGGCTTCCCCAGTAATGTGAAAATAGCGCAGGCTCCTGTATTTACGATGTCTGGTATCACCTGTTACAAATCATCAGCCACAGCCTGCTTGGACGTGGAGGTCTCCCTCGTGGCCAACGTGAATTAAGCATGGCTGGGTCAGCCCTCCTCAGTGTGTCTCTTCTCTCATAGCCCAGAGAAAATGCCCTGGGCTCTGAGAAAATGGCATCCCACAGGCCTGGGGATGCTGAGCTGAGCGCTCCCTTTCCGGAGTGGGGCACCTTCTAACCCCTCTGCAAAGCTCTGTCCTGGGACAGATGTTGTTCTACTACACGTGTCCTGGCTATACTCCAGGGCTGAGCTATGGGCTTCAAAGGCACTGCATCTGGGGCTCTGGAGCCCTGTGAACTTGATCACCCTCCTTTCTCTGTCCCCATAGATTGCAAGCCTAGGGACTGAAAGAGGAGGGAGACATACATCTATGAACATCTTGTACGGTCCAGGCACTATCACCTCATATTTTCTCACTTAAGTCTCATTAACAAGCCCATTTTACAGATGAGGGAGCAGAGGCTGAGAAGCAAACCAGCTTGTCTTCAGTCACACACCATTTGCTGGGAATGGAGCCATTAATGGAGATATAAACAACCCTCAGAGGTGCCACTGTGCACATTTTCTAGATGGGGAAGCAAGGCAGAGCTAAAGGGTGTTTTGAATGGGGTAGTGCAGATGCTTCTAGGGTTTCCATCAGGCTGCTGCTCAAGGCCGCAACAATCTCTCAAGTGTTAGACATTTATTAGAGGGATATGTGACTATGTATGTTTCAAGGTCCTTAAAAGCCTGCGTATCCTTTGATCCAACAGTTCTATTTCTTGGAACTTATCCTAAGGGGGTTGTAAAATGAGAACCCCAAGATATCCACCCAAAACAGCATGATGGTGAGATTGGAGCACAGCCTTTAGAGTCAGAGAGACGTGGCCTGGAACCCCTGCTCCCCTGCTCACCAGCTTCGTGCCCACAGGCATTCTTACTTAGCCTCTCTGACCCTCAGTTTCTGTAGGCAGAAAATGGGCATCATAGTAGTGCCTCCCTCACCAGTGGGTGGTGAATCGTAAAGTACATGAGACTGTGAAAGTCAAACAGCTGGTCAAGTACCTGGTTCACAGTAAGTGCTCGATAAATGTTACTTATATGCAGGGATATTGTAAGAGCCACAAAAAAAAAAATTTTTTTTTTAAAACCAACCTTAGTATCCAACAGTGAGGGACTGGCTAAAACTTTATAGCCATACAGTGAAACCTATGAATCAGTTTTAAATAATGTAGAATAATATTTGAGATGCAAAGGTATTCACCATGGATTATTACATGAAACAAATATTGCAAAGTTTATGTTGATAGTATAATCTGACTTCTTTTTTTCTAAAACACCAAAAAGGTCAAGGATATAGTCTAAAGCTGTGGTTTTCAAATATGGTTCCCAGACCAGCAGCCTCAGGGTCTCAACCTCCTGGCAATGTGTTAGGAATGCAAACTCGTGGGCTTCCCCCCCAGACCTCCTGAATCAGAAACTCTGGAAGTAGGGCCTGGCAGGCTGCATTTTAATAAGCCCTCCAGATAATTTTCTCCATGTTCAACTTCGAGAACCACTGGCTGATGGAGAGTCTTAATAGTGGTTGTCTGCGGGTCTTGAGAAATGGTAGGTGATTTTTCATTCTCATTTTACTTTAGTTTCTAAATGTTTTGAAACAGTAAGTGCATATTACTCAGGAAAGAACATTCAAAAGATGTTTATAAAACAAAGTCACATTCCAGACTTTTGCAATTGCTTAGTTACGTCAGTACTAATGTTCAAGTAAAAAACACTCAGGATAAGCAGCATTTCCCTTCTTTTTCTGCAGGTGACTGTTATTGGATACACATTTGGAATCCCTGATGTCATCATGGGCATTACTTTCCTGGCAGCAGGCACGAGCGTTCCAGACTGCATGGCCAGTTTAATCGTGGCAAGACAAGGTACGCGTCAGGTCTCGGCCCCCATAACCATCAGCATCACCCCAGAGGCTCCCCCACCTCTGCCCCGGTTACAGTTCATGGCTGTTCTAAGTCCGGCTGTGGAGGAAACTGTGATATCTGGAAAGCACGTGTATCAGATGCAACTCATGAGGAGAATCCTACCAAGATGAGCTCCTGCAGACCTCCAGAAGCGTTTGCGTGCGTGGAGTTGTATAAAAATGAACTTGTTCTGAAATCACCAATGTGAAATTGAACAGAGCCAAAGCCCAGGCGTCTGAGAGCCAATGAGGGCTTAACAACAAATGTTCTGGTCCCAGGAAGGCAAAGTGAGGATGTCCTATACCTCCAACTATATTCCTATGCTTCTTGAGAGTTCTAGGACTTGCATGTTTGGGTTTGTTTGGTGGTTTGTCTTGGGGCTGACAGAGTGACATGGGTTAAACCGGGTGAAGAGCACCTGTACGCTTTTTGATGGCAGAACGCAAGAGCTGTAAAGAGCCAGCCGTCATTCACTGCGCCTTTTCTGCCAGGGAGATAGCACAGATCTTCTTTCTCTGTAGATGAAAGTTTGGAAGAACCAGAGTCACGGTGGGCAAATAACAGAGTGAAATCTAAGAGGAGACAGCAGAGGAGAGAAGCGCTCATAGAGAAAGTTGGCTTTGGAGAGAGCGGGGGGGGGGACACATTTTATTTCTACAAGACAGGAGAGAGGGTTGATGGGTTGGTCAGTTGGTCCTGAGAAAACATGAGTTAAGGAGAAGGTAAGAGACAGTATATGTTTGGCAGCAGGCGGGAGCTTTGCAGAGAACCGGGACAGTTGAGGGCAGCAGTTGAAGGGAATGGAATTTAATGGAGTGACCTTTGAGGTGAGTGTATTCGTTTTATGGTGAGGGGAAATATCCCCTTTTCCCTCTCAGTTCTTCTGGTTGGTTTAATAATAATCAAGTTGACACAGGAGAAAAGAACCAAATTTAATTATGTATGTACATATGGGGGTGCCATCAGACTGTGGGGCCCAAGTTGGGGCTTACGTGCCGTCTTGCGCTAAAGAGAAAGGTGAGGGCTGGGTCGGGAAAAGAGAATATGGTTTGGGACTTCAAAAGGGAAGAAGGAAACTCACCCGGAGATGGAAAAGCAAAAGTTTGGTAAATACATGTTTGCTGGACCTTCTTTAACAATGTGACACAGGCAGGACTTTGATCTAAGGGCCCCTGCTAGGTTCCTCCCTGTCTGTCACTCCTAGTTCATATTGAACTCTAGTTACCTATGATGATCGCTCCCTTCCTGGTGCAGGTCCTCGGTCTAAATTCTTTTAGGCCATTAGGGGACTATCAAAGGTTTTTACTGAGTCTTTTGTTTCTTGAAAATAACCAACTTAACATAATATTTCCAAAACCGCATGTTTTAAGGTGGCAAACTCAGGTCCCCCTCAATCTCCTAGGGCTGTTGTAACAAAAGTACCACAACTGGGTGGCTTACAAAAACAGAAATGATTCTCTCACAGTCCTGGAGGCTGGAAGTCCAAAATCAAGGTGTCACTGTGTGGCTGCATTACTCCAGTCTCTGCCTGCGTCTTCACATGGAGTTCTTCCTGTGTGTGTGTCTCTGTCCAAATGTCCCACCAGTCATTGGATTCAGGCCCACCCTCACTTAGTATGACCTCATTTTAATTTGATTACACCTGCAAAGGCCCTATTTGCAAAGAAGGGCATAGTCACAGGTTCTGGGGAGACATTGGAATGGGGGACACTATTCAGCCCAGCACAGTGGGTAACAGGAAAGCTGACAAGCACCGAGGGCCTGGCTGACGTTCTAGTGGCGTGAACTTGGGTGGGATTCAGTCATACCAGCTCCAGCAATACACCGATGAGATGATAAGCTCTTGTGGAGCTGGGGTTGGCTGGGTGGATGTGGTAGAAGGTCAACAGGCAGAGCAGGAGCCATGCAGCGTGCTTCAACACGGACGTGCTGCCTCCAAGCCTCCCTAAGCGAGGCTCGCAGCTTGAGGCGTGGTCCAGGCCAGCAGCATGGGCTCCACAGGGAGCTTGTGAGACATGCAGACTCTCAGGCCCCACCCTAGCCCCGCTGAATCAGAACCTGCTTTTTAGCACCATCCCCCAGTGAGTCGTGTGCTCTTCAAGTGTGAGAGGTACTCCCAGAACATTCCTCAGAGGGCAGCGCCTGTGCAGAGCGGGAACCCTGCCAAACTGGAGCAGCTCTGACATTCCTTTGCTCCCAGACTCTTTATAGCTCCTGACCCGTCCAACTCGCGCCCGCATCCTCACCAGGGGCAATAGCTGGGCCAGGAAAGCTGCACGTTTGTACATTTTGTAAGAACCTGGGAGGCTGGAAGCCTTGATTCCCAGAGATGCCACCCCTAACGACACTAAGCTGCCCAGATTTTGAACAACGCCTGGGGTGGGCAGGGAGGGAGAATGTGAGATGTGAGGCCCTTGAGGGAGGCGTTGTGTCCTGGAGGGCAGCGGATGACAGTCGCAGGCCAGGAAGAGGAGGTGACCTGGCTTACACCAGTGGGGTGGTGGTTAAATGGAGGTGAGTCCATTGTCCAGATGCTCGTCTGAGTTGCTGCGAGCTTCTCAGCGACCAAAGCAGTTTTACAGTCAGAGGCATTTGTGTTTCAGGCTTGTTCATTCTGCAAACCTTTGTGAGTGTGCCAGATGACCATAATCATGTCGCATTAGGACTAAGCAGACAGGTTAGAACAGACTTCAGCCAGCATGAGCCTTATTGGTAAAAGCTTGTTTTCTAAGACTCCCTCCCCCCAAGTTATTAAGTTAATAACTTAAAAATCTTAAGTTATTAAGATTGAGTAGCGAGCATGATACTGGACAGTGGGGCAGAAAGGGGAAGGCGATGGCATGGTCCTCATCCTCTAAGATGCTTCTAGTCTGATTAGGAGAAAAGAGTTCACCCTTCAGAACCCACCAAGGCATAAGACCCGATGCCTTATCATTCAAGCCAAGGTCGTGGTGCCATCACCTGGGCCACGAGTATGCGTCATGGCTCCATGTGAAGAACACCGGCCCACTGGCAAACCATGTGACCTTGAGCACATCCCGAGCCTTAGTTTCATCATCTGCCACGTGAGGACAATGCCCCCTCCTTTTCACAGCAACTGGGTGACATTACATGAGGTGAAGCACATAGTGGGTCCTCGGAGAACATCGGCTGACACACCTGGCAGGAGAAATGTGAAAGGCCCTTTATTAGATTCCTAGGGCTGCTGTAACAAAGCACCACACACTGGGAGGCGTAAACAATGGAAACTTCTTATCTGCCAGTGCTGGAGGCTGAGAGTCTGAGATCAAGGTGCTGGCAGAGCTGGTTCCTTCTGAGGGCTGGGAGGAAGAATCTGTTGCAGGCCTCTCTCCTTGGCTTGCAGATGACTATCTTCGTATGACATTCTCCCTGTGCTCTCTGTGTCCAGGTTTCCCCTTTTTATAAGGAAACTCATCATACTGGATAAGCACCCACTCGAATACCCTCATTTCGATGACCTGTGTAAATACCCTATCTCTAAATAAGGTCACATTCTGAGTCGCTGGGGACTCCAACATATGAATCTTGGCGGGGGATGGCGGGGGGGGGGGCGGGGGAGGGTCACAATTCAGCCTATACAGGCCCCTGTAGACTTCATGAAGGGAGTGAGTCTTAGACCTCATAAAAAGGTTTTAGGAATGTGGGTCCCTGAAGAAGGAATTCCTTTCTAAGGAATAGCACTCACAGAATAGTTATGGGCAAGAACAGGGGTTCCAGTGACCTGATCTTAATGAATAACACATGTTTATTGTCCCCTCCAGGCCTTGGTGACATGGCGGTCTCTAACACCATAGGAAGCAACGTGTTTGACATCCTTGTGGGACTCGGCATACCATGGGGCCTGCAGACCATGGTTATTAATTACGGATCCACAGTAAGCTCCTCTCACCTCCTTATAAGCGAGATGGATGCCAGGCACGTGCCTTTTATGGGAGTGATGCTGGCATTGGCCTTGTTCCAGCCAAGGGCTCTGGGGGACACACTGCCCCCTTCTCCTTGGGACCATGACATCCGTGAAGGCTCCCAGAGCAGCCTGAGGGGTGCCTGCAGGGGGAAGCCCCTGTTTGCCCAGCACTTATCAGCGCTCCCACCCCTTATCTCAGCCTGCTGGTGTGCCTGTTCCCTTCTGGTCCAGAGTTGAGACTTGAATCCATTGTTAGCAGACCCTCCACTGCCATGTGCTCACCGTGAGCACCCACCTGTGCTTTCCACATGGGGGAAGGAATAAAGCAGAGCACACCGGGCTCTTGGAATGGGTGGGCCCTGAGCAGCCCAGACAGTGAAGGCGCATGTGCTTGTTTTTCCAGGTGACGATCAACAGCCGGGGTCTGGTCTACTCCGTGGTGTTGTTGCTGGGCTCCGTGGCACTCACCGTGAGTTTTTACAATTCCAAAATGGAAGCCCCATGCATACTTCATTTCATCAGATTCTGCCCGGTCACTTACATGTCTCTGAAACCCCTCTCAGTTCCCCCTGGCAGTGAGGGATAAAGCTGAGGAAACATAAATTCTGATACCCCCAGACACAATTTGTGCCAAGAATGTTGGCACCCGCCACTCCACTGTTCCCTGGGCGACTAAGAAATCACCAGAGGAAGTGAATTCCTTTCCTCTCTCCTTGCTGCCAGGATCATCTCCTCTCACTAGTGCCAGTAGGAGAGAAATCCCCGCCCACCCCAGAAAGCCCTGTGCTGGCAAATGGGGGCATGATGGTTAGGCCTCAGGACTGGCACACAGTAATGCCAAGGTCTCCTTCCACCACATGCCCAGGACTGTGCCAAATTCTTTGCCTCTGCTTATTTACTCAGTCCTTACAACCACCCATTATTCTCATTTTTTAGAAGAAATCAAGGCTCAGGGGTTAAGTAACTTGCCCAAGGTCACGGGGTTAGGAAATGGCAAAGCTGGGATTTGAACCCAGATGCGTCTGTCTCCATGGGACTCATGACATTGCTCTGATGAGGTCAGTATGATCCAACCCTTTAGGAAGCCTCCTTGATGCAGGGACAAGAAAAAAGATAGTGAAGTGCGGGCAAGTCTGGAAAGAATATAGAGAGAAGATGTGTGCTCCAACCTGTCTATACACACACACACACAGAGAGAGAGAGAGAGAGAGAGAGAGAGAGAGAGAGAGAGAAAGGCGGTCCTAGCTAATGTGTGTCAGACCATGGGCCAACAGGAGCCTTTGAAGTTTTGCTAAAGAGTGCTGAGGAGAAAGTTCTAAAGCAAAGGGAAGACCCAGCAAAAGACCCTAGTTGCTGGGGAAGGCCTGGGCAGGGAGGACCTCGGTGCCTAGACTGGGCCGGGGAGGGCCAGTTCCCTGAGGGCAGCTGCTGTATGTGCCTGGAGTCAGCAGGGCTGGGCCAGGGCCTCCCCCTTCCATCAGGCAAGTGTACAGCCTGTAGGGCTCACCCTCTGCTCTAGTCCACATTTTGGAGAAAGTTCTGGGGCTCATTGTGTATAGTTTTCCAGTAAAAAAAATGCCTTTTGGAAGTCTCTGTCCCCAAGCCCAGTCCTTGCATTCTCTCCGCCCAGGTCCTTGGCATCCATCTGAACAAATGGCGACTGGATCGGAAGCTGGGCATCTACGTGCTGGTTCTCTACGCCATCTTCTTGTGCTTCTCAATAATGATAGAGTTTAACGTCTTCACCTTTGTCAACTTGCCAATGTGCCGAGAAGACGATTAAAGCTGAGCCGCTGCCTGCCGGGAGCTTTCTGGACACTCTGGCGCTGGCATCCTCCTTTCTCTCCCCTTCCCCACCACGAGTCTCTCCTGCACCGGCAGCCGCCAGTCTGTTCTTTCAAACACTGGAAGGAAGAGCCGTCGTGGTCTTTGGTCATGGACCAAGCTGCTAGGCGTCCTCCTCCTCCTTGGAGTTCTGGCCCCAAACAGGCAAGGTTCGGGGGCTGATTTGAGCAGCTTCGCAGACCTCTGAGCTGCCAGCCACAGAGATGCGGCGTGTGTATCATCTCTCGGACACTAGTCAGAAGGACAAATGTGTGCGGTTTGTCTTTTCTGTTTCGCAGCATCCTCAGAAATGAGGTGGTCCATGAATACGAGGCCTCCTGGGGCAAGTGCAAAATAGGAGTGTTGTTCTTAAGTGTCATCTCTGGGCCAGAGGGTATGAGTTGGTTACTCAGACAGCGTGTGCTGTTAAGAGCCTCCGACTTCAGCTGGAAGCACTCATGGTGTGGAAGGGGCAAAGCCTCAACCTGCTGGGGTTCTGGGACCATGATGGCAGACATCCCACCCCTTTTTCTGGAAAAACTGGAAGAATGGAAACAGCCTTTCACAGCTTTTTCACAGCAGACGGGAGAAAACAAGAAAACAATATTCTTAACCACTTTTACTGATGCATTCAGAGAATGAGCAATGAAATATTAAAAATAAAATGTCATGTAGATCATCATACTTGAAAAATATCATTTCATACAAAAGGACCATGATGGGGAGCCAACAGGTAACACAGAAAACAAATCCTATGTGTATCGTGTTGCATGGACACTAAGACATTTGATTTGGAGTTTAGGAAACAGTGAAAGACTAACATCTAAATGGGTGCTAATTCAGAGACACAGTGGAGGTTGTAGTTTTCAGCCATACATTCCAGACCTTTCCATGTGATGCGATGCACTGTCACTTTGGCTTTGTCATTTCTTTGTTAACGCGCTCTACTCTCAGAACCAACCTGTTGAAAGACCCAATTGTTTATATGCCCAGCAAATTTCAGAGCCTGCTGAACTGGAATGAGTAATGGTTAATGACAAGTAGAAAGGTTTCCTGGAAAACAGCACATTGCTCCCTGGTTAGCTGCAGGCAAGTATGAAAACCATAACATGGAATTTTTAGAGCTCAGTTTTCGTGAACTTTATAGTTTGCTACCCATGACAAGCCAAGGATGGGAGGCCAATTTAAAAACAGATAGAAAAATATTAAACAATTTTTGACTGCTTCCTAGATCTCAGATAGATATTAAAAAGATTTACGAATACAAAACCATCTGTGGTTTCTAAAAGGAAAGCACAATTAATTTTATATAGAGGTGTTTTTTTATTTTTTTAATGTTTCTATTGCAAAAGTCTATCAGATTCGATGCACTTTTAATATTGAGATATTTTGCACGACAGACTGTATGGGAATTACCCATGAGGGTGTGAGGAAAGGAGGTTTTTGGCAATTCATCAATAATCAGTCATTGGGAATGAGTTGAAATCCAATAGCTAATTCCTTCCTGAGACACAGAGGTTGTGACCCAAGGTGGGATCTGTGGCTTTGCTCTTTAAAGCTTCCTGAATTTCAGGAGGAGGAAGCGTTCCGCTTGTGTCCTTTAAGTTAGTGGGAGCCTAAGATGGACCAGAGCTCCGTCTCCAGGCTTCTCGTCGGGAGCCATCAGTGTTACTAGCTATACCCCCGTGAAAGCTTCTCTTTTTGTTGTTCTGCCTGGATATGGAGCTCAGTGGTCTTCAAGTTGAAGACAAACGTGATTTTCCTAAGAAATTAGCTAAGTGGAAGGTCCGGGACCCTGTAGGTCATCAGTATAAACTTTAGCTGCAGGGGATTTGAGAGCTCTCGGGACACCCTGTGCCCTCTGAACATACCTGGCCTGGTCCCCTCTGTCTTACAGACGCATCAGGTTTGAGAGTGTGTCTGTCTCTAGATTCTCAAAAGCACCCTGTGATTAAGTAGGGATTATTGTCCCTGTTGAACAGAAAATTTAGTCTTGGAGAGGTCGTGTGACGCTAGGTCAATGACCAGTAAGGAGTAGAGCAGATGGTCACCCTTCCCGGCTCAGCCAGTCCAGTGGGTTGGCCATGGGATGGGGGGAGGCATGGTATGCCTTGGCCCTTGTGGTTGCTTCTTATTGTTTGAGTTAAAACTTCACCAGTTATTTAATTGACTCCTGGGTGTCCCAGCTCATATCCTAGTTTCTATCCCTATCCAATGTCCTTATTTTTTCCTGATAAAAAAACAAAACAAAAAAAAACATTTTTAGCTGCAAGGCACAGGCCACATGGCCCCAGATGATGTCCCCAACTGGTGTTGCTTTTCTGAACACTCGTGTAGCTTTCAGAGAAAAACACATCCTAATTACCCGCCTCTCCTTCAACAGCATCCTTCTGAGATTATAAAGTATACTGCAGTTGTAGTTGGAGACTAAAAAATAATGTTTTTAATATGTAGAGCACTCCTCCTGGTTAATTCTCTTTTGACTTCAATGTGCCAATGTAACTTCCTTAAAGGATCTATGCATTTATTGTACCTAGGAAACTATATATATACATGGTAGGTGAAAAAAAAATTGTCTTTTTTAACTAAATATTTTTCCATCACCAGTTTAAAGCATTGCTTGATTAATTAGGCCTTCATTTTAAAATACTGCTTTTACCACTAAGCAGGATTGCTTCCTTTATTTTATTCCCAAAGTTAATTAGCACGGGGGTAATTACACTGCTACAAACATAGGCAATTAAAATAATAAATTTAGCTCTTCTAATTGGGGGCAGAAAAGAAAAGCGAACCATTACCCTCAGAGAGAAAATGTCTATAGGAGGAGGTTCCTGTGGATTTCTGGTTTGGAATTCGCTGTTACCAGCCCAGTCATGGTCAGGGTGGAAGGTGTGTGGTATTTTGAGAAGGTGGCCCTGAAGGAAGGTTCTGGGTCAGCTGCAGTCAGAGACTAATGGCTAAGGACACCGGGGGCAGGTTAGACCTGTCCCACCTGCACCCCCACCCCCACCCTTCTTGTAACCCGTGATCTGCTGGCCTCTGCGCGCCTGGTCCATGTGCACAGACCTCGCTGCCCTTGTGAGTTTTCACGTGCTCATTATCCCCCACCTGTTAAGGCTATTGCTTACTTCTGCTTGTCAGTCCCCTGCCTTCACAGGCCTGAGCAACTGATAAGGCACTAACCTCCCAAAGGTAAACCAGGTGGGATGTGCACATCACTCTAGTGCTGTCCTGTAGACCCTGACCAGAGACCACCCCAACCCAACCCCCCCGACCCCAGACTTCCCAGGGTCCAGGTCCTGAGGGAAGAAACTATTCCTCTTCCCTTTTGATGAGGATCTGTAAGCCTTATGGCATCTGCAGGAGCCCAGCGCTCAGGGACACCTGACTCGCACACAGGCTGGGAATCCGGGAAGGGTGTCGGTGGCCTCCTTGCTGGACACTGTTCTTTCCTCCTGGTGTTTCTCCTCCCTGAGTCCTAGGGCCCCTGTGTGTCCTTGAGGCGGAGTAGACAGAGGCAAGATGGGCTGGGAGAGAATCGGTTCCTTCTCTCCTTCCCCAGGTATGAAATGTGCTAGTGCAGTTAAGGTGCTGGGACATGAGGGTTCTACTGCCATGTTTGGGTACTTTCCCCCTGGGAGTCAGCAGGAGTGAAGCAGAGCCCTTCAGCTGGTGCTCCCTGGTGAGCCCTGCCTTCCCCCAGCCCTGACACCCAGTGGGCATAAGGCCCCGGTGGGTCTTTTCTCTCCATCACCTCTCCATCCCTCCTAGACCCTGTTCCTCCCTGGCTGTGCTGCGTGTGTAACGGGCTTCAGCAAATGCGTGTTGCTTGAATACACACGGAACTTGCCTCTTAGGGTGAAAATCTTCAAGAGATTGTTCCCGTACGCTGTGACTTAAATATTCCTGGGTCCCTCTAATGCCCTCTGAATGATTTCTGTGTGAGTCTTCTCCCCTTGAGGCAGTTAGCAGATGTATCCAGGGCACCTGAGATTGTCCAGGTCTCAGAAGCTTCGTTGCCACATCATGCCCATAGAAACTTCCAGACATTTCTGCAAATGCTCTCTGGGCAGCTCTTGGGTGGCAGGAAGTCATCAACACCCACTCCAACCCTGGATTCAAAGTACTTCCTCCCTGGCCCCTGTCCTCTCTATGTGGATTCACCCAGAGCTTCTGGACACCCCCACCAGCTGTGAGCATTTACTCTGGCTTTTCACTCTGCAGCTGAGATTTGAACCCCTCAATTGTGAAGACTCCCTTGGGGCCTTCTCAAAGCACTGGGAAGGGGGCCCTCCAGCACTGTCATGTGTCAGTCATGTGGGTATAGAACAGGAGGCTCCTCCATGGGCCCAGCCCACAAGGTAAAGGACACGGGTGGGACACAGACCTTGTTGCTCACTTGGAGCCTGGCCTTTTGCCAGCCTGGCTTATTGGGGCCCCTTGGCCGTGCTGCAGAGAACGTTCCCCAAAGGGCACAATGTGCAGGGGTACAGATTTTTAAAAAGGCATTTAGGTGGTTTCATTTGCTTCTTAATCAGGAACCCTAAATGGGGACACTAGTTTCGGTGGGCAACGGGAGGGTGTCCAGCCTGTCACAGTGCTGCCCAACCTTGAGGAAACGGGTGCCTGCATGAAATCGCGAGAAGAGGCATTTTTCTCCTATTCTGCCACCCAGGTGGAGCTATTTTTTCTGTCACAACAGGAGAGCCAGATGAGTGAGTGGTTTTAGAGCTTTTCAATTTTATGGAAATTTTAAAAATTCTATGGAAATTTAAAAAAATTCTAGCTTCTCAGTGACAAATGGCTCCCCGGTTCCATTCATCTTTGCTAAATCCTACCGCACTGCCGGGGGCTGGTGGCCGTGCTTTGTGTCACCTTTTACCTGCATCTTTCTAAGGCTTCTCATCACCTCGTAGTGTCTAGTTGTCAAAGCTGTGTGTCCTTCACACACTTCATAGCAGGGCCAAGAACATTCTCTTTTCTAATCTAGAAAAATGTCTGCTGCCTGAATACCCCGGTACAGTACTGTGGGTGATGGGAGATGGCTCTGGGCGTTGAAAATACCCACTGTACCGATGTGAGAGTCCAGCCCTTGGTTGTGTGGCCTTTCCATCTGTTAGACTCATGCGTATGGATTGGCTGCTCCTTGGTGAAAAGCCTAATGACAAATTCGGGCAAAATCCACACCTATTCCCATTGTTGCCAGAATTCAAACAGTTGCTTTTTATGCAGCCTGTTGGTTGGGACATTTCCATAGTCAAGGCCAATGAAACCCTTCATCCTGGAGAAAGTATGTACCCTCCCCCACCCCAGCATTGGAAAACAATTTTTTTTGAAGCTATCAAGAGAGTATGTGCAGCTTTTGGCTTCTAGCTGCATGGTTTGGTATGATTAGCTTTTGTGCAGAAAGGGAGGGTCCCGGACAACAGAACCCTCCCTTGCTTCCACTCCAGGATTCCCAAGTATCCAAACAGACACACAGCCCCCTTCGACGGGAGGCTGAAAATGACTGGGGTGTGAGCAAGGCAGCTCTGTTTTCCCAAATCAGATATTCTAGTGAGTTTTTTTTTTTCTGGCCACTGGGGCACCCCTGCCCTCACCTCCAGAAGTGCCCTTCTGAGCTATAGACCACTTCCTGGAGCTTCCTCCACGTGGCTTGGACTAAGGACATGTGGGGACCCA